ACATGTACTGAGCATAGATCTCAAAGAAAGAAGCAGTAAATATAAGTTCCAGCAAAAACGTGTCAACTATTGGTTCGAACGGAAAGTACCGTGTGTAACAAAATCACAATTTTCCTCTTATATAGAGCCTATATTGAACTTAAGGTGAATTTGATTAACCATATTAACTCTGGACGGTTGAATATTACTGACGTAAGGAGCATCGCGCGGTCGCGTTGTTGTTGGTATAGTACAAACAGAGTCGAGTACGGAACGGCCGTTAAAGAAGTAACGCTCATAGGCTATTCAAACCGTTTGACCTTTGGAATAAAAACGGCTGCATTACAACAGCGAAGGAACACGGACGCAAGATAAGTAAACAAGTATAACGTTGATTTGATTACAATAATCGACAGGAAAAATATAAAAAAAACCTATAGAAATCCAACCACATTCGGTGTCCTAGTGCCCTTGATCTTACTAGTAAATTCAATCCGATAAACACAGTTTGCAAATATGAATTTAAAAAAGAAATCTACATTTTATAATCAGATGTTCAACTTCGCCATAACAGAAATGGCGGGATTTACGATAACGGAAGAACACTTCCTACGATGTTCCGAGAAAGAATATTGGATCTTCAAACATTAATTCAATCTTTATGTGACTCATGTGCAAAAAAGATGTGCAATCGGATAAAAGACGTTTAAGCACCAACGTTCCAAACTTGGAAGGTAGCGGTCAAGCGTGAGGGGGTCCAGCCACCTTAAGTGTATGCTACATCGAGTGTATAAGCAGATTTAAAAAACTGCCTCAGTTGGGTTCTCGCCTCAGTCTTTACTGAGTTTCCGTAAAGCCTCAGTGGCCGAGCGGTTGTGATCTCGTCTAGCAAACGAGAGGTCAGTGGTTCGAGTCCCGCGAGAACCCAACTGAGGCAGACTTTTTAATCTGCTTATACACCCGATGTAGCATACACTTAACATATAGATCTTTACCGAGTGACAAAAACACATTTCATAGATATAATATTATTGAATGAAAGTCTTCTTTGTTTTGCCGATGGGACCCCGCGATAGGAGACAAACAAAGCTGCATTTTTCTTGAGCGAAAAACATACGATAGTTGGTTAAAAACAACCGAATGGTGAAGGTGAATGGTGAAAATAATATCGGAAAAATTAAATAATTCATTATTTTTTAAATAAGATAATGTCCAACGTAATACGATAGAGTAAAAAATATGATAAAAAAGCACTAGAACATTTTTTTCGCGCGCGCCTTAGTTTTCCTATATAATTCCCCTTTGGTATCTAATGTCGCTCTTATGTATACAATTACTTCAATAAAGTTAGTCACCAAAAAACTTAGAAAGCTAAGATCACTGAGGGTCATGGAAATTTTTTAATATTAAACAAGTAAAGCTTTTGATACGATTTGCAGCTTTAGGATGCTCAGAAGAGGTGAGACTGTAACTGGTAAAAGATCTAAAATCCCTCAATACTTATTAAAGCAATTGAAACATGTAAAATGTATCTACCCATAATCCTTGCAGGTCTCAGCTTTGTAGCTTTTCAGGTGACTAACTTTATTGAAATAAGTGTATATGTATACACCTATTTCAAAAAACGTTGTTATCGCCAAAGGCGATAGGCAATAGTCGATAGGCGAAAATCGATGATACATGTCATTCCAAGATCCAAGAATAGCTGGAATGACTTGTGTTTCTTATTTTTATTCTCGCGTCAAGAGTACCTTCGTGCCGAGACTGATTCGATGTCTTTGTATTCAACGAAACCATTTCCATGTCGGAATGACCTATCGCCTATCGCCTTTGGCGACGACGTTTTTGAATTAGGTGTATATACCCTTACAAGGGAGGAAAGTACGGTCGCCATCTTTTAAAAAAAAACATACTTTCAACCACGATTTCATCGTCTTTTAAACCTCGAACTCCACAAAAGTCTTGATCAAAATGATCCCTACGTTGGGGGATCCATTTTTTAAAACCCTTTTGGCTCTTCCTCCAAGATTTCTATGACCGAAATTTTTGTGCATATAATTTTTTGCTTGCAGAAAATTTTCTGCCATGTTATGCCGAGGTTCCTACCTGAGCAAGACTCGGCCCCAAACGTGTACACGACCTACAAATGGTAAACAAAAATTTTTACTTTTCCTTAGCGATCTTTTGGTAATCCATGTGAAGAGTTTTACGTTTTTGTATATGAAAGTAATAAAATAGATAAGCTTACTTTGTTAGCAGCAAAATAGAAAATTAGCTGGACATGAGATACACCTAATTGAAAAAACGTAGTCGGGTACGAGAAGGTCATGTCATCGAAGCTAAGACCGAAAAGGATTTTGGGTACTCCGAAATGTTTATTATATTTGCATATAGACATGTAAAAATGCACAGTAGAGCAAAGTCGGTCAACCTAGAATAACAACATGCCAAAGCCATGATGCATAAAATTCGCCCCATGTAAGGGAATCCGGAATTGTTGGGAAAGAAGACAAAGGAGATTTTGCGACGAATGCAGTTATCAGTAATATCGAGTACGCTTCATATTGCAAGGACATTTAAGATTATCGCATAAATATATTTATTGGACTAATAGATAAACATTATAAGCTTCACAGAACAATCTTTAGTATAGAATATTTTTCTTAATTTTACAAAAACTCTTATTTATTTATTTGTTTTGTTTGTTCATTTATTTAATTATATATATATTGCATACGTAATTTTTTTTAAATTGCACATCATAATAATAATAATAATAATAATAATAATAATAGCAATAGTTTAATATTTATAATGCGCATATTTCATGTGTATTTAACAAATTTACGATGGTTTAGCGTGGTATGTCCTCTTATTTACCACGATATGACATCAAAAGTTGGTCAAAATGTCATGGACTCACGAGGCGTAAGCCGAGTGGGTCCATAACTAATTTTGACCAACGTTTGGCGTCATATCGTGGTAAATAAGAGGACATACCACGCTAAACCATCGTAAATTTGTTTTTTTACTACAAAACTCTAGGAAATAGACTGCACGAAATCTTGCATGACGCCATTTGTTGGTATGGCCTCTTATTTACGACGTTTTTTAACCAATCAGCGCGCGAGAAAATTTACAATTGTGGTAAAAATGTTCATATACGCAGAAGTTAACTAAGTCATTAAATTAAATAAGTTGCATAAATAGAAATTACAATGATAAAATTACATGAACAGAAGTAGAAATATAACATAATATAGTATAGTATATAATATAAATATATGAGATATATTATATATAGTAATAAAATTCTAAGTAATAAAATTTTAAGATAAAATTCAGCGATAAAACTTTACTTGAAAAAACATAATATTACACGGCGTTTCGACGTTAACTGGACGTCATTATCAAGTGATAAAAACTAAGAAAACGTTAATTTATATACATGAATAATAATGAGTATAAAAAGGTGTGAAAACGAAAACAGAAAACCACTTCTTATCAAGTATTATCAAAGACATTAATAATTAATGAGGAAAACACAATAGAAATCATTGTCCGTGGAAGAGGTTGTATATCTGATACAAAATCGTCCTGATTTGCATAACCTTTAACTCCAATTTTCTTAGCCAAATTCAATTTTATCTTTAAAGAATTATAGTAGAATATCAATGTATACACCTAAACGTTTCATAAGTAATATACAATATTCGTGTCCGTGTTGTATCAGATATACAATCACTCGCCTTCGGCTCGTGGTTGTATATCTGATACAACACGGCCACTCATATTGCATATATTACTTTAAAATTATAAGTAAAAGCTAATTATTTAAAAAGGTATGTCTTAACATTTGATTTAAATTGCCCGATACACAGTTCATTACTTATCAGTTTTAATTCTGCTGATCAAAATATCACCCTTTTTCAAAGTACAAGGCGTTATATCGCATTCACCCAATTTTGGTCGCTTTGAAATTTTCTTTTTTGGTTCCAAAAGAGCGTGTGAAGCGTAAAGAAAATGTACCTTAAAATGCTATATTAGCATGAATCTATATGTCGGAAATGAATATTTTCATTTTTAGATCAATAAGAACTCTTTGCATAAAGTTACTATAGGACAGACACATACAAAACTGATGTCAATTTTTTTTTACTATAACAAAAACAACAACTAAAACGATAAAACTGTTCATTGTTAGTGATCAAAACAACCAACAGCAAGAACGCGCGCTCGTTGACGACCTATTAGCTGTCTGTCCTCCCATTGATGATAATAAATAGCCAATCAGCGAGCGAGAAATGTGTAAGTTATTCTAAAAAATGTTATATTGCTAAACGTTAATCAGCATCGTTAGGGTCTATGATCCCGAATTGTACCAGGTGATTTCAAACTAAGGGCAATCTGGCTCTGATCACTTTTTACTGGGTTATTTGTAGATTTGTTTTAATTTTAATTCATTTATGCATGTTGAACACCTTTTTTTCCTGATAAGGGATGGACCATTAGATAATTGAGGGGGGAGGGGGTTGCTGTAATTAGTTTATGTTGCACGATATTTATTTTTTTGTATTAACCCCTGCACGTAATTGTTTTGTGTTTATCTGATATTTCTTTTCTGAAGGGAGAGGTTGCGCGATATTTCTTTTGGTAGGTGAAGTGCTTGATCGATATTTTTGGGATTTACGCAACCTCCCCCTCAATTATCTAATGGTCCGTCCCTAAGAATGCACTTAGGTCATATTTTTGTCAAGTCACTCTTTTTTTTCAGGATTGCGTGACTATGCGCTTAAAGATCGACATCACCTGGAACCAGATAGATATCCCGTTTGCTGGTTCCTTGGATCTTTTTTATCTCGTCCTTTGAAAAGCTGACCGCAACTACATAGTCAGCTTTATCCTTAATTTTTTTACTGTTGTAGATAGATGGACCACCATCAAAGGTGCAGGGCAGGGCAGGGCAGGGCAGGGCAGGGCAGGGCAGGGCAGGGCAAGGTGAACTACAGATAAAACATCGGTTGAAGCAATTAAAATAACATATTTCTTAATTTTGACTCACAAGTGGTTAAATTAATTATGATTCATGTAATTACTACCTTGTCCATACACAGCGTCATCGTTTCCTCTGGTAGAGGCTTTGATCTTCTTGTCTTGGCTAATGGCTTCAGCACCCTTTTCGCTGGTGTAATGGTAAAGAACGTTTTCCTAAATAAGTCAAAGACAATAGCAATAACATTAACTTTCTTAGGCCCCGTCCACACGTATCCGGAAATTTTTGTATCCGCACTTTCCATTTTCCCCCTGGATTTGCCTCAAATTTTCTTCATAACAATCTGTCATCTTATATGCTAAAATCATTTTCTATTGTTTATTATTCAATCAAAAGCGAGAATTCCGTTTGTAATTTGCACTGTATTACACTTTTCTGCACTGAATTACACTTTTCTGCACTGTACTTCTTAGTTTCGTGTAACGTTCGTTATCAGATGACGTAAGTCGATCGGTAAAGGTTTAATTATCGATCTGCTAACATCTTAGTGAGTGAGCGAGCGAGTGACACATTTGCATATTCAGAACCCTCACAATAACTCCCTTCTACGCTTCGCGTATCCACGAGTTAAAAAGGAATGTCAAGTCGAGTCGGTCCACGTTTCTTTCAACAACACCGACGGAAATCAAGCTTGAATTTAGCGAGTTCTAGTTCTCAACATAGTTTTTTCTGAATGACTAAAGCCGTTGCTTAAGCTTTAAAATTATTATTTTATCTAGATCTGCTTGGAAAAGGCTCTTTCTCAAGGGAGAAAGTCGGTCAAACCAGAAGCTCAGCTCGAAGCTTTGACGTGCAGAATAATATAACTAAAGGAATTTGTAGAAACGCTCGTCTTATACGGCGAGTAAACAAAAACTTTCTGAGTGAAATATACTCACTATATTATATACGTCATAACGATGACCGCGGCCTCTCTAAATTATGCGTAGAAGGGATGCGCGCGAACAATGCAACTCAACCAAAGCAACTGACCCTAAAGAAAAACGTTTGCGCATGCGTGCATTTCAGTGCACGTTTTCTAAGAATTTTGAAGAGATTGAGTGAGAAAATAAATGTTTGTTTTCTCCAAGTATACAAAAAAGAAGAGTATACTTTTGTCAGACCAAGATACTGTATTAACAAACACAATATGAAAGAATTACCCTTAAAATTCAAACATAGACATTAAGGTTTGGCATTTATCAGGCATGTTTGAATGTCTTGACTAATTTGCTTACGCATTCAGAGCATGGGCAGATCAGTTTTTCACTCGTGTCAGGCAACCCAGTATACGCTCTTAGAGCGTTTTGTCTTTTGAAATGGTTTTCCGTGTATACAATGTGACTTTTGAAATCCAATGTAAATACAGCCACTGCTTGGAAAATGTCCTGAAATCTAGAACCAGCTTCTGCTCGTGTTGACATTCGAAAACAGTCCTTATTTTGTCGATGCAAACACACTTGACCTTCACAATCACAACTTTTTTACTTATCAAACGTATCATTCTAATCGATGACATTCGAACAAGCCAGACTTGTGATGCGTCCACCTTTGCGAAAACGCTCAATGACTTTCGAACGCAGAGAATGACTTTCGAATTGGCTTTCTCCAAGCGTTCCTTGTAAGCCACAGGAGGCCCACTAAATATTAACTGATAGTCACGTGATTATAATGAAAAATTGATATGGCTGCCTCAGAAAGTACATTTCAGCAAATCCAATTTTTAGATAGACGTGAACGAAGATTTAGCTGACTATGTGTTGTTTAGACTTCAGCAAATATCAAGGCATTTGTCAAGACTAGCGTAAAATGTTTGATCGAGTCCAAGATTCCTTATCCTCAGCGTCAAGAATTTTATGCGAGGCAGAATGGAGTATAAGCAATACATCTCCTTTTCTATTAAGCTCGGAGGGAATGGGTCGTCCAAGGTTTGTTATTTCAAGGCAACAGCTTAGGTACCTAGTAGACTATGAGATATCTACACCCAAGATCGCTTAAGCTCTCGGAGTATTCCCTCTTTCCTCTTGTCCAGTTTCTTTTTCTGGTGTCCCAGTATTCGAATCCTCTCCASCCGTCCCTTGATTGTCATTAGGGACCTTAAGCTACAGGACGGCAACGACGACGACGACGGCAAACATACAATAGCACTAATTGTGCTATTAGATAGATACTCGTTGAAATGTACAAAACACTATGCATCATTGCCGTCTTATGCTGAAAGTAAGACGTGAAATGTCCTATTTTTATGTACTAAAAAGTACATAATAAGTAAAGCGCTCCCAAAAGACGACATTTCACTCTAAGACAGGGATGCTTATTGAGTAAAATACTAGGTAAACACGAAATAATAATACAATAGAACGTTGAAGCGCTTCAATATCGCCCACGCTGTCGCCCACTTTGCCGTCCTGCAGATTAAGGTCCCTATTGTTACCTTCTCGGATTTTCAGTTTCTTCCACTTTCTTCTTTTTTTCTTCACCAAGCCCAGCACCCGACTACCCTTCATCCCTTGGCTTCCCTTTTCCTTGTTGTTCAGTTTCTTTTTCCGGTGTCCGAATAATCAAAACATCTCCAGTCACCATGTTATCTTTTCCAAGTTGTACAGTTTCTTCTCCCGGTGTCCCAGTAATCAAAACATCTCCAGTCACCATGTTATCTTTTCCAAGTTGTACAGTTTCGTCTTCCGGTGTCCGATTAATCAAAACATCTCCCCTCGCCATGTTATCTTTTCCTTATTGTTCAGTTTCTTCTCCCAGTGTCCCAGTAATCAAATCATCTCCTCTCACCATGTCATCTTTTCCTTGTCGTACAGTTTCTTCTCCCTTTCTCCCAGTATTCAAACCATCTCCAGTCACCATGTTATCTTTTCCTGTTTGTACAGTTTCTTCTCCCAATGTCCCAGTAATCAAACCATCTCCAGTCACCATGTTATCTTTTTCTGTTTGTACAGTTTCTTCTACCGCTGTACCAGTAATAAAACCATCTCCTCTCACCATATTATCTTTTCCTGGTTGTACGGTTTCTTCTCCCAGTGTCCCAGTAATCAAACCATCTCCAGTCACCATGTTATATTTTCCTGGTTGTACAGTTTCTTCTCCCGGTGTCCCAGTAATCAAACCATCTCCAGTCACTATGTTATCTTTTCCTGGTTGTTCAGTTTCTTCTCCCGGTGTCCCAGTAATCAAAACATCTCCAGTCACCATATTATCTTTTCCTGGTTGTTCAGTTTCTTCTCCCGTTGTCCCAGTAATCAAAACATCTCCACTCGCCACGTTATCTTTTCCAAATTGTACAGTTTCTTCCCCCGGTGTCCCAGTAATCAAACCATCTTCAGTCACCATGTTATCATTTCCTTGTTGGTCAGTTTCTTCTCCCAGTGTCCCAGTAATCAAATCATCTCCTCTCACCATGTCATCTTTTCCTTGTCGTACAGTTTCTTCTCCCTTTCTCCCAGTATTCAAACTATCTCCTCTCACCATGTTATCTTTTCCTGTTTGTACAGTTTCTTCTCCCGGTTTCCCAGTAATCAAAACATCTCCTCTCACCATGTTATCTTTTCCTGGTTGTACAGTTTCTTCTACCGGTGTACCAGTAATCAAACCATCTCCTCTCACCATATTATCTTTTCCTGGTTGTACGGTTTCTTCTATCGGTGTCCCAGTAATCGAACCATCTCCAGTCACCATGCTACCTTTTTCTTGTTGTACAGTTTCTTCTATCGGTGTACCAGTAATCAAACCATCTCCAGTCACCATGTTATCTTTTCCTTGTTGTTCAGTTTCTTCTACCGGTGTCCCAGTAATCAAACCATCTCCAGTCACCATATTATCTTTTCCAAGTTGTACAGTTTCTTCTCCCGGTGTCCCAGTAATCAAAACATCTCCAGTCACCATATTATCTTTTCCAAGTTGTACAGTTTCGTCTTCCGGTGTCCCATTAATCAAAACATCTCCAGTCACCATGTTATCTTTTCCTTGTTGTACAGTTTCTTCTCCCGGTGTCCCAGTAATCAAAACATCTCCAGTCACCATATTATCTTTTCCTGGTTGTACAGTTTCTTCTATCGGTGTCCCAGTAATCAAAACATCTCCACTCACCATGTCATCTTTTCCTGTTTGTACAGTTTCTTCTCCCGGTGTCCCAGTAATCAAACCATCTCCAGTCACCATGTTATATTTTCCTGGTTGTACAGCTTCTTCTCCCGGTGTCCCAGTAATCAAAACATCTCCAGTCACCATATTATCTTTTCCTGGTTGTTCAGTTTCTTCTCCCGGTGTCCCAGTAATCAAACCATCTCCAATCACCATGTTATCTTTTCCTGGTTGTACAGTTTCTTCTCCCGGTGTCCCAGTAATCAAAACATCTCCAGTCATCATGTTATCTTTTCCTGGTTGTATGGTTTCTTCTACCGGTGTCCCAGTAATCAAACCATCTCCTCTCACCATGTTATCTTTTCCTGTTTGTACAGTTTCTTCTACCGGTGTCCCAGTAATCAAACCATCTCCAGTCACCATAGTATCTTTTCCTGGTTGTACAGTTTCTTTTACCGGTGTCCCAGTAATCAAAACATCTCCACTCACCATATTATCTTTTCCTGGTTGTACATTTCTTCTCCCAGTGTCCCAGTAATCAAACCATCTTCAGCCACCATGTTATCTTTTCCTTGTTGCACAGTTTCTTCTACGGTGTCCCAGTAATCGAATCATCTCCAGTCACCAAGGTATCTTTTTCACTTTCTTTATCTCGGGCATTTTCGTTTTTCAGCTTTCCGTCTTCAGGCCCTGTTTCTTTCTGCTGTTCATCCCCCTTTAATCCCTCTTGATCGTCCTCTTCGCTGTCATCAGACCCACACCTCGAACCCTTTCCCGCACATTTACCTGTTTTATTCGTTGCTTTTTTCCTGGTTATAGTCCTTTAGGATTATTCTGGCCTTTATCGTTCTTTCTGATTTTCATCTCGTTATACCGCCACTGGGTAGCTTAGTTGGTTGAGCATCGGACTTTCGTGTGGGAGGTCGTGGTTTGAGTCCCGGTCGGACCATTACTCAGGGTCTTAAAATAACTGAGGAGAAAGTGCTGCCTTCGTAATTGCATCTGCAAATGGTTAGACTTTCAAGTGGCTCGAATGACCATTGTAAATGGTGGTTCCGTCTCTCCATCTCTCCACACTCATCATTACTCACCAACATCGGAGGGATGTAAAAGAACCACTGAGGACGTAAAGAAACCCCACCCTCAGTGCCTACACCTCATACTAACCATCTCTCATGCTTGTAAATTGCATAAAAGCTGTCATTCACAACTCAATGTAAAGCGCCTGTGATTATATCCATATAGAAAGGGCGCTTTATGAATCATAAATCATTATCATTAAATCATTAGTTATTATATATCATTAACCTTTTCTTTCTTTTCTTTATCCAGTTTTTTCTTGAAAAAACTAAAGACCGAATCTTTAGCATAGTGTGATATCCAGACGTGTTCTGTCGTGCCTACAGAAGGAAAATATAAACACTTATCATATGACCCGTACGGCCCTGCTCGCGCGCTCTAATAAAACCATTGGAAAAAGTCACGTGATGGGGGCCGGACGGGTTGACGTAAGCGGGCCGGAAAAACCCGTCCGGCCCTGCTCGAATCCGCGCGCTTTCTTTTTCTTAATTATTTTTATTTTCGTGAGGCTCATATGATAAAATGCCTATTGACTGAGTTAGGTCGGGCCGTACGGAAAAATATTTGCCTGTCGGTCATTTGTACGGACCTCGCTGCGCTCGGTCCGTACGACATGACCTCGAGCCAAATATTTTCCCGTACGGCCCTCCCACTCAGTCAATAAGTACATAATATTTTACTGAAATAATATATAGATAAAAAAGTGTACTTTAGACAATCATTTATATCCCTCAACACCATCTGGCCTACATCTTTATCTTTCCATACACATACCTGCAGATACTAGTTCACAAGTGTCGCCTTCATAGTACGAACGTATTGGAGTGTCCAGTTTATCGCTCGACGAAACCCAGTTTCTCGTTCTCTGATCAGGAATGAAGAGCAGTGAATTACCATTAGGCTGCGTCGATAATGTGTGGCAGAGGGGGGGGCAGGTGAAGTTGAGGGGGATCGGGAACATTTTGGTAGGAAAAAGGGGGGATAGTGAAAATTATGAATATCTCCATTTCCCAGTGATATTTGTTTATTCGGCCAAAATCGGGCTGCATTTATCCAGCCCAATGGTATTATACAACTTGTCCGCTAGAGAATTCGGCATTCGTCCCAATACGATAACGGACTAATAAATAATGTTAATTGAACTGAGTGGAGTGCAATTTGGTCTGAAATCAAACGCGCAATTACAAAATCGCACACCGCGACCAAATATCACTGGGAAATGAAGATATTCATAATTTTCACTATCTCTTTTCGATCCCGTCTTTTCATGATATGAAACTCGACAAAGATCAAAGCAATGCAAGTCTATACACAGGGAGCTCAATTTAGATAAAAATGCAAGAATAAACAAAAGTCACTGGAAAATGGAGATATTCATGGCATCATTTTCACGACCGCCCGTTTTCGACCTAGTCCTCCCACGATATGAAACTTGGCACGTCTGTACACAGGGATCCCAAATTAGATAAAAGTGAAAGAAGAAAATAAAATCTGGAATATATCTTATTGATACAAATAGCGCAGCGCACTGATTCTAAAAATAGCTTAAAGATTCGGACAAACATTGCATTCTGTTTAACCGCTACGAGGATTATACGAACCGATTTT